ATACAGATAGAGAGGAGGGGGAGTTTTTTTTAATAGGGGGAGGGAGGGAGGGAGGGAGGGAGTATGAAACAGAGGGGGAATACAAAAGACTCAATACAGCTCAAGAGTCGATTGGTGAATGCACTAGGGCAAGACAGTATTTTATCTCACAGGAGATGCTGGAAGCTACAGATACTTGTCGTGCAGCTCATCTGACCGGGGATCGGGATTTACATCTTTCTCAAGTGCGTTGTCACTGTTAAGAAGAGACAAGGAACAGTTTACTATGTCTTGCAGAGTAGGTTGAATCACATTTTTAAGTAAATGACCTTCATCCTGCCTACTAAGCCCTGAGAAAGCTGAACTACAAGCCCTCTTCACTGGTGACTGCAGTCCACTCAGTAAGTGGCCAGAACGTTTCAGATCCTGTTGCTGTGCGGGAGTGTTGGGCTGAGTATTTTGAGCAGTTTTGCTAGGTTGATCCACCAACAGTTGATTTGGATGCGGGTAATGTTGAGATTCCATTACCGGACCCACCCATCAGTGTGGATCCAACCTCCTAAACTGAAGTTAAGGGAGCGATCTCCAAGCTGAAGAGTGGTAAATAAGCAGGTATCTGGAGTATCCCAGCTAAACTGTTAAAGGCTGGTGGTGAACCCATGGCGTGGAGTTTACATGCTGTCCTGGTTGCCATCTGGCAGTCTAGTACCATTCCTCCTAACCTTCTGAGGGATTGATGGGACTGCAGCAATCACCAAGACATCACACTGCTCAGTATACCAGACAAGGTTCTCATTCGCATCCTTCTGAGACGTATCAGAGACCACCTGCTGAGGCACCAGAGGCCGGAACAAACCGGATTCACTCTGGTAAGTCCACAATAGACTGTATCCTGGTGTTTTGAGTCATTGTAGAGCGCTGCCATGAGTTCAGGCGTGGGCTGCTTGCAGCCTACATTGACCTCAGGGAGGTGTTTGATACTGTGCATCGGGAATCATTCTGGGAGATCTTGAGGAATTCCAACAGGGATTATTGGACCAATAGCTTTTCAACACTTGCAGGGACTGGATACTGGGCAGAGTTACTGTCCAGTCATTGTAGAGCAACTCTAGGCAGTATCAAGGTTACTGACCTTGACTATGCTGAAGATGTTGCTATTCTAAGTCTGGAAACCCTAGTGGTTGCTTTGGATGCATATAGCAATGAAACAAAGCCCCGGGATCTTGAGGTCTCTTGGACCAAGACCGAGATCCATTATTTTGGGGACTTGGGAAGAGAACATGTTTGGTTGGTACGTACTTGCTGCGAGGACATTGAAGTCAAAGAGAGCTTTAAATACCTTGGTAATGTATTTCATAACTCTGGGCTGTCAGGATGTCAGCAGATGGATTGGCCTGGCATCAGGGGTCATGAACTCTCTCCAGAAGAATATTTGGAGGTACCTGTGCAGCAGGACCAAGCAACAAGTTTCCAAGGCCTTGATAATCCCAGTTTTACTATTCGGTAGTGAAACCTGGAAATTATTCTGTGCCTTGGAGTCTCATCTTGATGCCTTTTGTAATAGGTCCTTGTGCCGGATCAAAGGGTACTCCTGGCGGTTCCACATATCCAACCAACAGTTGCACTGTGAGAGTGGCACAGGACCTGTTACTTGCACATTCTGTGATCGCCAACTCAGGCTATACGGACACCTGGCTTGCTTCCCATAGATTGATCCTGCCAACCAGGTTGTCTCTGTTTGAGACAGCCCTGGGTGAAGAAGGCCAGTGGGACTACCTAGGAAGATGTGGCTTGGGTAGATCGATCAAACCTAATGTAAGGAGCAAAAGATGGGGTGAGTCCGGGCTTGGCGGCCTGCCATGAGGGATCCTTGTAGATGGAAATAAGGGTGGATGCGACTATGCGCCCCCATCGGCATTAGCTCCCAATGATGATAGTAAATAGTCTTATTAATCTTAAGAAAGATTCACCCTGGATTCTAGTGTAATCCAGTGTGCCAAATCTGTTATTTTATTTAATCTAGTCATATGTCACTTAATACTTATTTTACATGTTTTGCAAGTTGTAAACATACATTATTTATTAGGATATTTTTAAAAATCTGTTTCCAACACTTTTTCCTCCAAATTAACGACTTTATTATAACTTTAATGAAAAACAAACCTTAGGCAGTTAGTCATCTCACAGGACTGTTGCCATTATATGCACATATACCAATTTATAACTAGAAAAGCTTAGTAGAAAATGGTTCTCATATCACTGATTTGGTCATTTTAATATGCAGAAAAATTCTCATTTTATGTAGATAGCTTGGTTGCCTTTTAGTTCTATTTACCTTTTTTTCTTTAATGATAAGTTCGAACAGCCAGTCAGACCCAGAGATGGCCTGAGTATGTCCTAAAAAGAATGCTATATGAAAAAGACATTATAATATACCCTCATAATCCCTTCTCGTTGACAAGCACAGTTGATCTCATAATGGGAACTCGTTTGTCATATATTCTAGTGCCTTGGCTTTGTC